CGCAAAGAACATGAAAAAATCACCGAAAAGATCAAAGAATGTGAAAAAAACATGGAAACCATAAGAATAAAGATTCACGAAAGTTTAAAAATAATCGGAGCTACATTCAATGAAAATGATAGCATTACTATTAACGTTAATATTTTGCTCGAAGAGATTAAAAAATTTCCACGTATTGGTCCGGAAACCATCGCCGAAATCAACAATGTCTTGTCCAATTTAGACAAAAATTTTGATGAAAATGAACCAATTGATAAAAAAATAGACCATCTTGTTAAACAATGTAAAGAATTTACCATTATCAAAAACAGAATCAACAGCAGTTTTTAATTTTTCCTTTTTTATTCAAATAATAAATAAATAAATATTTAAATAAAAAAAAATAAAATAAAAAAAATAAAACATGAACGAAGAATTCAATTTTAACATCAAAGCGTTACAAATACCAAGCGGTTCTGCCCTTGCTGACCGCATCCAAGGTGATTTTAACAGATTAACTGACCTAATAAAAGCGTTAAAAAAAGAAAATGAAGAACTAAAAAAAGGAAAAGAACCTCTAACCAACCAAATAACCAACCTAACCAACGAAATAAATAATCTAAAAAATGAAAACGAAAAACTGAAACCGCTCAAGGAAGAAAATAATAAACTCAAGGCACAAAATACCGAATTAATAGCCAATAACAAGACCTTGTCTGATTAAAACAAAAAATTATCTGAAGAAAACAAGAAACTTCAAGATGATAATGATAAACTTACCCACGAAAACCTAAACTACGAGGATACTTTAAAGAAAGTAAACACCTCTGCAAATTTAACCTTGGACTATTTTGGAGAGAAATACAATAAAGATGATCCGATCGAAAAGAAAATGAAAAAGATTGTTAGCAGGGCGGAAATAATAATGAAAGCAAAACCTGTAGATGTTAGGGAAAAAAATAATTTTTATTAAAAAAATGCAATTTTAATTTTAATTTTATTTAAAAAAATGTATTTTTTTATTAAAAAATATATATATTTTTTATTAAAATGTTAAAATGTATTTTTAAAATTTAATAAATATTTTAAATTGTAATGTTTGTTAAATCAAAATATTGATCAAATTGCGTCTCATTGTATCAGGTGTAATTAAAGAGATAAGCTCTATAGAAAAAATAATAATTTCTCAATATAAAATCAAGATCAATTTCATAATAGTTAAACGTCCCGAAAATCATAAAATATTCCCAGAAATTCGGCCATATTTCATATTTTAAACATTCGATGAGATAAAAAAAATACCAAAACCCAATGACAAGAGATAATACATATATGATAATTATTCTAAAAAAATTGCTCCTAATGAGCTTTAAAATATAATAATAGTAATACAATGAAATGTTTTCTGTTTTATAATTCTCTAATTGCTCGTTAAATTCTCTCAAATTCTCATTCTCCTTCAATATTTCTTCAACATACTCAGTTATTCTTTGGATCAAATCGGTATTCGCCATCTCAACATGTATACTTACAATCAAGCTTGTTATAATAAAAAAAAAGTTCCACAGAAAAAAAAACCAAAAACGTGGCGATCATATGATAAAATATCACAATAAGAATTTGCTTGAATGCTTGCGATAATAGATAAAAATATGGATGTTTTCAAGTCAATATCTCTGATACTTGATTTTGATAATTTTGCAATTGTTTGTTTCTCTTTCTCAATAATTCGTTCTCCTCTCGTAAATTCTCAAGTTCATTTGTGAGAAGTAAAATATTGGCCATTATATAATGAAATCTAACTCGTCAAAAATATTGTTCACTTTATATTCCAATCTTTCATCATCCACTCGTTCAACCAATATCCGATAGATCACATATACAAATTGATGCTTATTTAGAGGATCCGGTGACATTTTATACTTGAAATCTCCTTCTGGAGAAAATCTGAAAAATACCCCAACACCATGAAGATCAGATTGTTTAGAAAATTGCTCAAGTATCAATTTTTTTATCTGGCTCAATTCCTCTTTACTTACTTCAACCACCTCTTTATAGCATGATATAACAGAGTCTATCACACCCAATGGTCCTACTGAATTATTCATCGTACTAATCACTCCTCGTTTAAATTGTTTGATCAATTTCTTGAATTTATCATCGCTAACCTTGAGCGGTTTACGTCTTTTTTTCAAGCTTTTCATCAATTTTTCTCAACAATTCTTCATCATCCTTCACAAGTTCACGAGCCGATCTCATCAATATCTTGATGTTGTCTGTTGCTAATCGTTCGACCAATCTGAGAATCTGAATCGTTACTTTATCTCTAAAAAACCCATGTAATTTTGCATGCATCTTGTTTTTCGTCTTTAAAATCTTCTTGATTAACAATTCGACATCTCTAAATGTTGCCTTTGACATATCGAGAAATACAAAAACATACTCAGGATCATCTGGATTGACAAAATAATAGTCATATTCTCCGTCCTTGTAAATGTTACTAATGGACTTTCTCATCTTTTAATACTCTATTTTTTGCAGATCTGACAGTTCCGTAGATGAATTTATCATCTTATCCAACAGATTATCATCCTCCAACGAACCATTAAACTTGCCTTGAGGAAATTCCTTAGGTATCCGAGGAGCAACTTTTTAATGTTGTTGTTATCCAATTTATTAGGTTTTTCATCCAATGTATCGTTCTTGTTATCTAATTTATCGTCGTCTGGTTTATCGTTTTTTCATCCAATTTATCATTTGATTCATTGTTTGATTTATCTTTTTTATTTAATTTATCATCCTTTGGTGGTGAACTTGACAAGAAATTTAACTGATCTCGGCGTTCTTTCTGTAACTGTTCCTTTGTTCTCAGAAAATCCAAATATTGTTGATCGATTCCCTGTATCTCTTGATCATATTTCCCCTCATCGACAAGTTCTGTCGCATCATTTTCCTCTCTGATCAAATCGCTCAATAAAACGTACAATAAATTATTATACTTGTTTTTTCTCAAATCGATTAATCTTTGTTTACTTCTCTGATCACCCAATAACGTCGCATTTAACGCCAATATATCATTCGAAAGTTTACTTGTATCATCCAAATCATTGATTTCAAATTGTCTATAATACTGATTAATCAATCTTTGATAATTATCCCATTTGTTAACTTCCAATTGACCCAACAAAGAATCCAGCAAACTAACACGTAATCGTTGAAGATCGCTCACATTCCTTCCACCAGTTAGATTAACATTTTCCAATTGTCGGATTCGTCTATCAATCCTCGAACCATCTTGCAATTGTGATGGATTCTTAATGTTGGGAAGCTCATTCCTGATCTGATTATAGTATTGATCAGATAATTCTTTCAATTTTTCAACTCTAAACTGTTGCAGACTCACTTTCTGGGTTGAATTCAACATGCTATCGGTTCTTATTCTACGATCCCAATATCTGCTATCTTCTAAATTTGCTATAGATGTGTCGTTCCTTATTCCATTTCTTATCGATGTGAAAGCATCAAGATCAGTAACGAAATTCTCCAACTCTTTTATCTTTGCCTCATGTAATTCATTAAGTTCACTCTTATCTTCCGTTGTGAAATTTGAATTGTTTATTGCATTTTTCCAGTAATTTCTTAATCTGTCTAAATCTTTTTCTTCAGATATTTCAGTGTAAACCTTTTCATACTCTCGTCTATAAGCCAACCTATTCAATCGAATATTCTGCAACTCTATCTTTTAATTTCCTATTCAACAAAAGATCAGCTATTATATCGATATCCCAATCGCCACCATTTTGTAACTTTGGAATCGATGTTTCCTTGCTAATATCTTTTGCCAAACTGTTAAACCTTGACAACATCGCATACTGATTTCGTCTCAAAGCTTGCAGCACATTTTGCTTCTTAATTGGTAAACTCGAAGTACCGATTGCCTTATCCATTGGTCCACTATCCATTAAATTAGAAATATCATACTCGTTGGTAATCGCATTTTTCAAATTGTTGAAGGTTTCATCACCATTGGTGATTAGTGGCTTAACAGGAGGTGAAACCGTTAAACCTAACTGATGAGCTATTGTAAACAGTCCTGTTAAAAACTCCTCATAATATTCATCATCTTTACTATATGAGATTTTTTGTCGTTTAGTATCGACATAATCACAATCATGAAATTTTTCATCATTAATTTTACAATACGATCGAGCAGACATCGTTTAAAAAAACTGAATATTTATTAATTAACAAGAGATATTTATACAAAAATAAATCTGAATATTTCAATCTAATAAGATATATTAAATCAAGTATCAACTTGCATTCCATCCTTATCACAACACTTCTTGAGCATGGAAAACAATCCCTGCAACCCTCCCATGCTAGAAGGATCTAATCGCCACGCAGCTTCAATAGAACCACCACTAATAAATGCAGATATTCCAGAATGACCTAATTCAAATTTAGTTTTATTACCAAATAATGATCTTTCTGCCCCTTCAAATTTACATAACCTCATCTTATACAACCAATCAGCATAATCTGTCACAATTGCTAACATAAAATTCCCTTCTGCATATACTATATTTTCTCCAGCATTTCTTGATAAAACACATGTTCTATGATTCAAATCAGCACATAAAACCAAACTCTTTGTTTGAAAATCACATCTAGTATCATATAAAAATTCTAATTTTTCCTCCACTATCGGTTTGAACGGATCTTTAAACCAAAGTCTATCTCCCAATTCCGTTATATCGACGAAAAGTTCATCCAATGAATAACTCTTTTTTTTTGCCATTTTCTCATCACAAATTTGCACAATAAAAAATCTTATTGTCATAGATTCCATTAAACCCACAATATTAGTCGTACCATTTTTTGTTGGTAATTCAATTGTAGAACCAGTACTGCTCACGGTGATCTGAAGATCTATCGAGATGTCAGACATTATCAAATGATCAACAGTTTTCAGTCCTTGAAAAAGGGGAAAGGTAAGCACATTCGAGAATATAGTATCCCAATAATAGCACTTTCCCTGATCTTTAATAACTCCAAATTTACCTTCATCAATCTCTGTACCGATAGTCCTCTTCTTTCGACAAGCGTTGTATTTATCAACGTTCCCACAATAACCAATATGATATAAAGGAACCGATTTTCTAGTTGATTTTACCAAACAAGAACCATCTGCACACTTAATCGTTTTAACTGCTTTTTTCTTTCTAACAGGAGCCATCTATTGCTTCTTTTCACAATCTGAACAATAAGGTCCATCCGCTTTAACTGTCTTTCTTTTAACAAGAGGTTGTTTATGTCTTACCAAACTTTTTGAAGTTGATTTTTTCTTTGACTTTTTTGGTTTTCTCTTCTTTGAAATCGGTGCCAGTTTTAACTAATTAAGTATGAGTCAATCATTTTTAAACCTTCAGAAATTATCAACCTGATCGTTGATATGACTTGTAAAAATCCAGTTTTCAATAAAATATTTAGATAT